TTGGTGCGTTATACCAACTACTCACCGTTTCGCAGTTTGCTAAAACTCAGAAAATGGGGGAACCAAGACTTATGTGCAGAAGAGGTTTGTTTACGTGTGTCAACGATGGGTGGTCGCTGGCTTCGCTAGCGGCGGCGTTCGCGACGATGTTCCGCAGTGTGGCCGTCTGGCTGTTGGGTGGAATCGATTGTAGTTCACGGAACAGCCTCAACAGCAACTCGGGACGATGTTCGTATTGGGCGATCAGGTTCGCCACCTCGTGGTACATTCGCTCTTTGTACGCTTCCGATTCGCTGAAATAAAACACGTTGAACACAACGACCAATGAATAACGAGGTGCTGCCTCCACGTCAGTAACGTTGCTGATACGCACTTTACACTGGTCCTGTCGTCGGCCGGGGCCACGTCTGCTTGATGCTGGTGCTGGAACGCCATTCCGTTGGACGAAAAGTTTCCGTGTGAGGACACGCTTCGACGAAGACCACTTCGCAGCGGTTCGTTGTAGTAGTAGTTTGGAACGGGGGCGTCGTTGATGTTACGATGACAGAAGCTGCCCGGGCGATCCAGGGATCGGCCACGCTCCGGTGGGCACCGTCGACCGTAGATACGACGCCCGCTAGTGCGCTCGCGCTCCTGAAAAGGTCTCGCTACCGACCGTGTCTGGTCGACGTCCACGTAAGACGGGGAAACGTTGTAATCTGACAGGTGACGACAGCCATGACGACACAAGTCCGATGCTGCATACGTCGGAGGCACGTAATGCGGACATGAAGGATTGGGGCAGAACGATCCGGTGTCATGACCAGATGCTGGCTCGCCAGCAGCGGTCATCGCGTAGCCATCCGGGCCACAGGAACTAGCTCTGACGTGTCTGCTGTCAGGCTGTGATGCTGGAGACGGTGACGGAAGAGGAAGGAAAGGTGCAGCGGCACGAGGTTCTGACAGACGCTGGCACAACTGCCGTAACGTGGCCAGTTCCATCTGCTGCATTTGCAGCTGCTGCTGGCACGACATCAGCAACATCATCTGCGTCTGCTGCTGC